ATTCTTTACCATCATACTCACACTCCTCTACTCTTTTCGAAGACCCATCACAAAGATGAGATTGAATTCCATTGAAGTCCTGGTGATTCCATATCTATTGCAATGGTAGATTAACTCGTTTAGACAATCATAATACACTTCAATTGTTTCACCTTCTTTTTGTCTGAAGTCTTTTAGGTCAACCAAGCACTGTTTGACGGAATTGATCTTCGTCTTTTTGCTTCCTTGAAATTTTTATTTCAAATTATTCCAGATCTCCTTAGCATTTGTACAACTCCTTACATAATTGTACACAACAAGAGGTAAGGCTCCACACAATTCCCTCATACACCTACTCTCTAGTTTCTTCAGACGATCAGTTTGATTATCAACACTAGAACTTATAGAAGACAATCCAATAGGTTGAACATTCACCGGAGGATTGACATTTCTAGAAATACATGTCCACAATTCTTCATCAAGGCCATTCAGATAATCCTACATACGATCAGCCCACTGATCATAGTATTCCAGGATTAACATTGGAATTTTGGTCGATGATCCTAACAGATGAGAAAACGATGTCATGGAATTGAGATTGAAGCTCGCCATTGTTGTACGAAAGATGATTTTGAGAATTTTAATGAAACTTTGAGAATTTGACTACAAACTAGTTGAACCAAATCAGAATTACTAGACGAACACTCGATTCAACAATTCAAATGCAAAATCGGATCACAAACTAAGATCTAGACGAATTTTTCACTTCCAAAAAGTGCGCAAACTTTTTAACCAAAAAGTTGATTCAAAAACTTTTTTAACAAATGAAAATCAGATCACAGATATGATTCCTGCTCTGATACCAATTGAAGAACCGATGAATCAAGTATGAAATGAATCAGAGTTAAAATTGAAGTAACTAATAAAAACAAATAGGCTAATGATGATGTTCTCATATGTAATTCGAAAATTGCAATCCACAACTCAAATTGCACGTCACTACTAGAAAAAAATATATAACACGGTAAAACTATGAGTAAAAAATGATACATTCATCCACAACCTTAACTTGTAGATCTCTTTTAGGGACTCCATCATTGCTAATACGTTCTAAAAGAATTGTGGCTATTGAAATTTTTTCTTTTCATTTTCTTATGACATCCTTCTTACATGTAAGAGTTTATATAGCATGTTTGGTGTTTAATGTTAAATCAATTACTTAAAAGACATTTGAGAATATGATAAGACAAAGGAGTTTCAAATCAATATGATGCTTACAAATATAGTCATTTGAGAATATAAAAAGACAGAGGAGTTTCAAATCAATGTGGTGCTTAGAAAAATGCTTCTATTATAAGATACTAGGCGAATGCCCGTGCGTTGCGCAAAAACACTTGTATAGTTGAAATCTTTACAAATATATGTTTTTTAAATAAAAGTATAATATTGTTGTTAAATTTGATATAATAATTCGTATACTAAGTTGATATAATATAATGATTATAATGAATTATATGATAATATATACCTCTATTAAAATTGTATAATCTTAATAATTTAAATGGTCTCTACCAACGGGGGTTACTCATGAATAAAATTAAATATAATATATGGTTTAATGTCATTTATAGTTGTTGTTCTTATTAATCACTTTTTTAAAATTTATTTGTTTAACATTTTAATTTCTATCATTATGATTATTTAAAACATCAAACACTGTTTTTTTTTATTTTAAATGTAAAAATATAATCACTTATATAGAATTCTTTTTAACTATTATTATTGTAAGTTATTTTAAGCCACTTATTTTAAAACTTTTAACTATTATAAAAATATCTTTAGGAAATATTTTACTTAAATTGAGATTACAATTTAGTTTTTGCATTTAGCACTACAATTTATCACTTTTAACTATTCACAAATATTCTTTGGGTTTTTTAAGTGGAACTGAAATTTATATTTAAGTTAACACTATAATGTTATATTTGAATTAACAATGTAAGTATTTTGTCCAAACTATTCAAATGTTGTAGCTTTAAACTCATAATGGTTTACATACAACTACATATTAAATCTAATAAATTAAGTATAATATGTTAAAAGTTAAAGACATAACTTTATAAGTATAAGTAAATATATTATTTTAATATTGAATTTTAGTTTATTTATGATTACACTTTAGGTTTGATATTTATTTAACCTTATTAACAAACTTATAATCATTATTAGAAAGGCACTACAATTAATTACTTTTAACTATTTACAAAATATTTTTTGGGTTATTTAAGTTAAACTAAAATTTATATTTAAGTTGACACTCTAATGTTATATTCAAATTAATAATTTAAATATTTTATAGAAATTGTTCAAAAGTTATAGTTTTAAAATGATAATGGTTTATATACAATAACATATTAGACCTAATAAATTAAGTCTAATATGTTAAAAGTTAAAAAAAATAACTTTATAAGTAGAAAAAAAATATTCTTTTAATATTGAAATTTAGTTTATATATGATTACACTTTAGGTTTTATATTTATTTAATTTTATTAACCAACTTATAATTATTATTAGAAAGAAATTGAAAAGTCATGAGAGTTTCAAACGAATGTGGTATCTATATATTTGAAATCTTTACAAACATATGTTTTTTTCTAAATATAACAATAAGATTTTTGTTAAATTTGATATAATAATTCTTATACTAAAATGATATATTATATTGATTATTTTATATTATATGATAATATTTACATTTATTATAACTGCATAATCTCAATCGTTTTAATGACTTCTACCTGCGAGTTATTCATTAATAAAATTAAATATAATATATGGTTTAGTGTTATTTATAGTTGTTGTTATTGTTAATAAAAAAAATTTAATTTATTTTCTTAACGTTATAAAGGTAACAATATAATCATTTATATAGAGTTATTTTTAACTATTCTAATTGTAAGTTATTTTAAGCTGCCTATTTTAAAACTTTTAACGATTATATATAAAAATATCCTTAGGAAACATTTTAGTTAAATTAAGATTACAATTCAGTTTTTGCATTTAGAACTACAATTTATCACTTTTAACTATTCACAAAATATTCTTTGGGTTTTTTTAATGAAACTGAAATTTATACTTATGTTGACACTATAATCTTATATTTAAATTAACAATTTAAGTGTTTGTTCAAACTGTTCAAAAGTTGTTGCTTTAAACTCATAATGGTTTACATACAACAACATATGAAAATCTAATAAATTAAGTATAATATGTTAAAAGTTAAAGACATAACTTTATAAGTAGAAGTACAGATATATTTTAAATATTGAAATTTAGTTTATTTATGATTACACTTTAGGTTTGCAACTTATTTAACATTATTAACTAACTTACAATTATTATTAAAAAGACACTATAATTTATCAATTTTAACTGTTTACAAAATATTCTTTAGGTTGTTTAAGTTGAACTAAAAATTATATTTAAGTTGATCCTGTAAGGTTATATTTAAACTAACAATTTAGGTATTTTATACAAATTGTTCAAAAGTTGTAGTTTTAAAATGATAATGGTTTACATACCATAACATATTAGACCTAATAAATTAAGTCTAATATGTTAAAAGTTAAAAAAAAAAAATAACTTTATAAGTAGAAAAAAAAAATCTTTTAATATTGAAATTTAGTTTATATATGATTACACTTTAGGTTTTATATTTATTTAATCTTATTAACCAACTTATAATCATTATTAGAAAGAAATTGAAAAGTCATGGGAGCTTCAAATGAATGTGGTAAAAGGAAAATGAATGAGAGTTTCAAATGAATATTGTGAAAGGAAAAATGCTTCCTTTATAAGTATATAATGATAATGATAATGATATAGATAAAGAAATGATATAATGATAAACTTAAATATTTTAAATTTATGGATTATTGAATATTCAAATTTAATTCTATATTAAATAATTTTCAAAGTTTCAAATTAAATGCTCAAATTTAAATCTACTTTAATAATATTAGAAATTAAAAAGTAAATATTAAAATGTAGATCTTTCTTAAATAATCTTTAAATCAAAGAATTTACCGATTCAGATATGTCTTAAACATTCAAATTCAATTCACTATTTAAATAATATTTAAAATTCGAATTTAAATTTAGATTTAGTTTAAATAATTAGATTTAAATCTTATTTTAAATTAATAGCTATTCTAAATAAAAAAAATCCAGTAGAAGGCCGACAGGGCACGCTGCATCTTATGAAGATTTTTAATTTTTAATTTTTCTTATTAGTAGTTCATATGATTTAAACCTATTGGCTCTGATATCACTTTCAGGAATTTAGGCATTCTATATAGTCTAGTTTTCTCAACAGAAAACAAAATAAACCCTAAGTGTATATGTATCCTATGGATCTAGGTTCTATTATTATAGCAAACTACTTTCAAACTTAAAAAATAATAACCTCTTGATCTTCTTGTTTTCTTGAATGACATCATGTCACAGCCACTTTTCTTTGGATAATAGGGACCCAAAGAAGGAATCCCTCTAGTGGAATAACACCCAAGACAACAACTTTAAAATAAGAACTTCGGGAAAGAGGATGTTTTTGAAAATTCTATAACCTAAAGAAGGATTATAACTTTCGTCAATATGGACAGAGTGAGAGAGTTGGACAAATTTTAGCAAAGGTAAAGAGTATCAGGGTTTTTATCGGTTTATAGTCTCAGTCTAAATTCAAATTCCTGAGGATAATCACTATCCTTATTCAAATCAATCCATATCCTTTATCCCCAGGATAAATTCGATCCGTATAATATTCTAGAAGGTTTTGGATTATCCTAATTAATTATTATTCAACCTATTTACTTAATTAAAACTATTAAATTAATTCCAAAATCATTTCCAATTGGTTTATTAATTCTAATAGAATAACAGCTTATTTTCTTTTGAATTTTTATTGGTTAATTAGGTCATAAGGAACCCAAAGGTACCTTATTTTTATTAAAAACATTACCAATTAGTTAAAGCCTTTGAATTCTCAATAACAACTTGATGTATAGTTTATACATCTAAATGTCAAGAATACTATTTGCTTCACCCAAATTCTAAACAAATTATAGGGTTACATCATACAACACAAAACCATAGATGCCTTTTTTACTTCTCATAAAACATAACCAGAAAATTAAATGGTTAAAGATTATAAAAAATAAAAAAAAATAAAAAAAATAAACCTGTCCATCAAAAGCAACAAAATACACATTTAAAAGAATTTATTGTGGAAATTAGAGGAACCCATATCGTCATAGTCGGCCTTCGAGATCCACTTCTGATACACGCAAAAGAAAAGTAAGTTAGTCAAATATTTCTTAGATAAAATTGTGAAAACAGCATTGTCCTTTACTTCATTTTACTTATATAGAACATTTCCATTATTTACTTACTCATGGTAGAAAGTTGCTTATAACTCATTACACATAGTAATGTCTTAGACACATTTCCTTAACGATGGTAACGATATGTAATAGGTAGAGTAAATTACTAATGTTGGTAATGAAACATTAGTACATTGTTATTATTGGTTAAAGTAAAATAAATTTATTATTTAAAAAAATAAATTTAAGTACATTGTTATCATAGGTAAAACCATAAAAGAAGAAAAGTAGTTTAGTACAATCGGTAAAAGATAACATATGTTTCTATATGGGTAATGGAAGTAAGTGCATTGATATTCTCTCCAATAGAATTAGATTTTTTTACAAAAATATGTAACCATAATAGCAATGCACTAACAGTTTTTATACTAATAACATTATACGTGCAATTCTTTACACATAATAGTAGCTTAGTTACATTCAATACCGATACTAACCATATATAACAAGGACACATTATTTGTAAAAAAAATAAAGGAAATTTGTCATTAAAGGGATAAAAGAAGACAAGTACGTTGATATTATGAGTAGAACAATTAAGTAAACTGCTCATATCGGTAGTGAAAGTAAACGTAGCTATTCCCTTTAATTTGTCCTATATTTTGAACATCGTTTAACCAGAAAACACTTAATGGACTACGACTTGGTAAGCTATATATAGATGTTTTTTTACTTGATGCAAAAAAAAACACAAGTACATAAAGAAAGTCAAGGAAAGTGAACTTCCCTATTAAGTCTCCATTTTTATAAAATTTATCCTCATTAGTTACTTTTAGAAAAATAATTAATATATATAATACTTAATCACGACTTTATGTTACCTCTTGGAAGTTGCTGAGAGATGCAAGGATTGATCCTCCGATCCAGGCACTATGTTTCCTCTCAGGCAACGCAATAAGATTAACCTGCATGCTACTAGGTGCAAGGGCAGTAATTCCCTTTCTTATTCGGTCAACTATACCTGGTAACAATGTTGACCCACCAATAATTACAATATTTTTATATATATCCGCCGCATAATTAATATCACATTTCATGATCGAGTTGTAAGTCATCTCATGAATACCAGGAGCTATTATTCCAATTGAAGATGGTTCAAACAGAATCTCTGCACAACGAAATCTCTCTGTACCAATCGTGATAACTTGCCCATCGGGTAGATCATATTTCTTTTCAATAACCTTTGTGGTTTTCAGTTCTTGTTCAAAGTCAAGAGCCACATATGCAAGCTTTTCTTTCATGTCACGGATAATTTCCCGTTCGGCGGTCGTAGTAAATAAATAGCCTCTTTCGTTCAAGATTTGCATTAGGAAATTTGTAATGTCAACACCAGCGAGATCAAGTTGGAGGATGGCGTTATTAATTATGTGCCCTTCACAAACTGGGAGAGTGTAGGATACACCTTCTCCGCATTCCAACACGATACCTGTAAAATAATTAATAGTATTGATATTTGTTGCCAAAAGGAAAATATAAGTTTAACCCACACTTATTGAAAAGGAACAAGTGGATAGGAATCTATATCTATATCTATATCTTAATGTATCATATCATACTATACTTATAAAGTAGACATTTTTCCTATCACCTCATGCATTTGAAACCCCCACACAAATTTCCAAGAACCTGATGCATTTGAAACCCTCACACCTTTTCACTTTCAAAGTAATTAATCACACATCATGAAAGGTTTTATAACTTATATAATATGTTTAATAAACAATCAATGGATAGTCTACTATAAAAATGCCATTCTCTTTGAGTAGACACACAAATAGAAATCACATACAAAATTCACAAAGAAAACAAGTTTAAAGGTTTTGTGTTGGTTTGAGGGCTTTGGACAATTTTTCAAGCCATGTTATTATGTGAAAGTTTTTAATTTGTAGGTTTGTTATATACTAATTTTTTTTCTTGGTTTAAGTATTCTTTTAAGACAATCATTGTATGTTGTGGTTGAAATTTTAATGGAAATTAGATTAGATTCATGTTATTGATCATATGTTATGGAATCTGATATAGATAATATTTAATTAAATATTGTATGTATGTTTGTATGTTTGTATTGCTTCAAAGTAATAATTAATTAAAAATCATGGATATGCAATCTTATCCTCAGTATCCATATAAGTCTATTTTAAAATGCAAATTTTCTATCTTATTACTTTATATTTTAATACATATTTAACGTTTTAATTATAACAATAAGTGGCCTTTAAAAGTTTTCTTTTGCTAATTAATAATAATAAGTGGTTTTAAAACTAACGAACCATAATTATAAATAATAAAATCAAATTATTAAAATCATAGATATGTAATATTATCCATACAAGTCTCTTTTGAAATACAAATTGTCTATCTTATCGGTTTATTATTTAGTGTACGTTTAACATTTTAATAGTAATATTATGTGTTTCTTAAAAGTCTTCTTTAACTTATTAGTAATAATAAATGGTTTAACACTAATGAACGATAATTTTAAATGATAATAACATAAGTTTATAAATCACATAACATTAGCAATAAAAAAATTGTATTTTAAATGAACATCATTATTGAAATTAGAAAATAATCGCATCAGTAAAAAATTTAAATTAATCAATAATAACAATTGTTAAAAATAATATTAAATAGATAATTATATTAAATTTTATTAATAGGGAATGTGGGTTGATGTCAATGAATAATATTGTTCAAAATATTATGTCAAAGTTAATGTCAATAACATAACCATTTTAAAGATATATTTTTCAACATTTTAACATTATATTTCTAACCTATGTTATGCAACGCGAAGGAATTCGTCTAGTATATCTTATAACAGAAGCATTTTTCTAAGCACCACATTGATTTGAAACTCCCTTATCTTTTCATATTCTCAAATGACTTTTCAAATGTCTATTAATAATTATAAGTAATTGATTTAGCATTAAACACCAAACGTACTATATAAACTCTTACATGTAAAAAGAATGTCATAAGAAAATGAAAATAAAAATTTTTCAATAGGCAAATTCTTTTAGAACATATTAGAAGTGATGGAGTCCCTAGAAGAGCTCTACAAGTCAAGGTTGTGGTTTGCAATTTTTGAAGTTATATGTGAGAACATCATCATTAGCCTATTTTTTTATCTCTTTGTTTTTTTATGAATATTTCAATATGCTTTGTTTTTTCTTAGATTTTTGTTTCCTTTTATATTTAAATTTGTACATGTATAAAATATTGTTTGTACCATATATTGTAATTGATTAAAGCAATACATGTTAAGTATATTGAAATAATCCATAATTTGTATTATAAAAGCTTAATTTCAAGTCCATCGTTATAGTAAGTTATATAAATCTTATATGAAGTGGTTTAAAATGAGAAGTTTACAAGCATAACAAAGTTTCTTTCATAATTAGTTTAATATTATTAATAGTTTTTTATTGTACGTCTTCAAAGGCAGAAAACATGCCATAATGAATTTATATATCAACTTCATATAAATATAATTATTTCAAAGTTAATGATAGCAATATGATTATTTTAATAGTGTATATATATATATATATATATATATATATATATATATATATATATATATATATATATATATATATATATATACAACAAAAGAGTTTTCAAATTTTTGTATACTTATGATTTCAAATATAAAGTTATTAATCACTACAACTCAAAAGTTTTTGTAACTTATAGTTAGTAATTGGTAATAACTTTTTATTTTCTTCTCATTTATATACATTGTATCCATATTAGTATTATACAAATAAGTTTTCTCACAGACAATAACATCTTTTAAGATATTTGTGATTAAAACATGAATAGTTGAAAAAAATATATTTTGTCGCATCATGGTTATTACTATACGGATTTTTCTTCGAACAATATATATATATATATATATATATATATATATATATATAATAAGTGTCTTCTATATATTTTTTGTATGATTTATCAGTGTTTAAAAAGGTTTTTTTGTTACAAATGTTATAATAGATATTGTAGTGCTTTTAGGTTGTTAGAAGTTGTTATTCATTAAATACATAAATTAACATACAATTTACAAACCTTAAAATGGTCTATAAAATCATCAAGTATTTATTTTTTATACTTTTTGTTATTCGCTATCTATATAAATCAATATATGTTTTATATATGTTTATTAACATTGTTTTTCATTTATAAATATGAAATCATAATTTAGTGAATTAGGAGAATGATTAAATAATTGTGTGGATGTGCGCTTGCCATTAAAAAAACTATATAAATATATTCTTGTGCAATGCATAGAGATTCGTCTAGTATAAACCTCAATGACTTTTCAATTTCTTTCTAATAATTATTATAAATTGGTTAATAATATTAAATTAATGCATAAACTTAATTATAATCTTAAATTAACTAAACTAGAATATTAAAATATTATATTTTAATACTATTTATAAAATTATTACCGTCACACTTTACATATTACTTATTAGTTTATATATGTTGTCGTATGTGAACAATTGTTATTTTAAAGTCACAAATTTTGTATAACCTATGATTTTATGCAAAATAGTTAAATGATTAATTTCAATATAATGTTAAATGGTTAACTTAAATCAAAATTTCAGTTAAACTTGAAAAAAAATGAAAACCTATTTAATAAGTAGTTAAACATTATAAATTATAGTGGTAAACTTAAATTATAATCCTAAATTAACAATAACAAATAATGAAATTTGTTTTTATAATCATTAAGAAGTTTCAAATAAGTAGCTTAAAAATAACTTACAATAAGAATAGTTATACGTAATATTACATAAAAAAAATTATAATATCTTTAAAAATAAAACAATGTAGTTTGTTTTAAATAATTACAATCAAAGAAACTAACAATATACATCAAAATAAATTTTAGAAAAGTTAAATTTCTTAAACCAAATTAAAATAATTAAGAGTTTCAAAATATGTTATTTTAAAAAACTTAGAACAACAATAGTTAAAAGTAACATTATATACAAATAATATATTGTTACTTATAAAAAAACTATTTTTGACGTTTTAAATAATCACTACTAGAAAAACAGCTTTTTTACGACGTGCGAACCATGACACGTATTGATTTATGATACGTAAATGTGTGCGTCCAAAAAATAATTTCATCACTCCCAAAATTTAAAGGATTTAGGACACGCATTTTTTCATGCCCTAAAATTAGTGTCTAAACAAAGAATATAAAAACACGGAGGTCACCTATAATAAAATGTGTGTCGTCTAAGACCGTTGTTTTATAAATTTTAATATAACACGCGCATTCCATCCTGGGAAAATGAGATCCCAAAAACTTAAAAGCCCAGCCTTCCTTTTTTTCTCCTCCACTTTGGTTTCCCTCTTTGTAATAGTTAGGGCTTTTTGTCAAGAACATGCCTCGACCGCCTTTCTCTACTGCTCGTTCTCTCTTCAACTTCCCTTTCTATTCTTCTCACTTCTACAAACCCTTTTTCTTCTTCTCACTTCTCGACGTCGACAACTTCTCCCACCTCCGACGTTTCTCTTGGCGTCGGCACCTCCTACCTCTGACCTTCGTCCAGCCCCGCCCCGTTGTCCAACGCTTTCCAGTGACACCCAGCCGGTGAAGCCCCTCCTCTCCGGCACTTTCCAGCGAGACCCAGTTGGTGTAGTTCCTCCTCTCCAACAGAGAGCGACACCTCTGGTGTCTACTTTCACGAGGAGACTGCAACTATCACCTAGAGACTTCGGAAAATCTGAATGCTATTGTGAAGATCACTAAGCAACTCTTTGTTGTATGTTCCTTTTCTTCATTTCTTATTACCATGTTTTCATTAATCTGAAGGCTACATCCCTCATGTTCTTGTTATTGTTCATCGAAAATTTTACACCAACAAATTGAGCGACCTACGAACCTCCGACCTGGTTATTGACCTCCGGTGAGTGCTACTGGTTCTCTTCTTGTGTAATTATCATCGACTTTCATAGTATTAGTAATTATTTTGATTTCTGGAAACTGATTAATATGTATTATAGGATAATGTAAGTAATGGACGAAAGGGTAAAATGATAAATATATTTTCTATTATTTTTGGATACTTGTGAGTAATTTATCAACAATCATGGATTCTTTTGAATTTGGAAGGTTTTCTTGTTTCCCTGATGTTTTTATTATGTGATATATGCAGGTATGAGCGGTTTCTGAAAATTATGATTCTAAGTGTTTTGAAAAACACACAACGTCCAGTAAAATTTGGTTTATAAAAAAACTACCTTGCTGCATAGTTTAAGGTTGTTTTCTTCTCCA